AGCTTCAACCCAGGTTCTCAAGAATAGTTAGGTACTTAAATCTCATTCAAGCCAATCTGATTTGGATATTTAAACAAGTCCTTGGAGTGAGACAGTCTTCCACATCAGACCACATTAGCCATGCTGTTATACAACCGAACTTTCAAAACCTCCGAGGTAAAAAGCCTTTTCCAAATGTTCAGTCTGAATCTCTCAATCTGCCATTTGTAGCCCTTATTATGCTATTTACTGCTACCCAGAAAAGTTTGGCTCCGTCATAATTGTTACTCCCCACTGAGTAGCTGTAGGCTGTGGTCGTGTGCTAGAAAGAACAAGACTTCCAACATGGTTTGGGGTTCTTTGTGCCTTAAAAATCTTATCCTAGCACATGCAGAAGCAGCTCAGAAACTCTATTCTCCCTTTCTTCTGGTAAGCACAGGACACAGGTGTGGACTTTCCATTGGTTCATACCACAGCCAAGACTTATTAACTTCTTTTGGAAAAGTAGCTATTATTATTACTAAAAACTTTCAAAAACATTTGGCCCATAACCTCTCGCCTATAAACTCTTATGGCCCCTCTTGAGCAAGGACCACATATTCTGCTGCATCACTGCTTTCAAAAAGACGTTTGTCCTCGAGCCGCTCACCTGTGAACTGTTATGACCCCTCTTGAGCAAGAACTGCATATTCTGCTCCATCATAGGTTATCTAAAAAGGTGTTTGGTTAATATGTTACCCGAACTTTGGTGACACCACTGCTTGGTGTGTCAGCTCTTGCTTGCCATGGAGAACATCCTGTGTGAACTCCAGGTATCTTTCTGAGCAAAGGTGTAAGAGAGAAAGTTGGAGGTTTAGGTCTTTCATGTCAATAGTGCAACAGGCTTCTTGTATTATAAGCTCTCTAGAGAAGCTCAGTGGCCATGAAAGTTGGGAAGCAGTACTCCTGACTTTAATCTGGCACAGGACAGTCAAGTGCACAGTGACTCACTTCAAACAATGCTGATCCGGAAAAATCCCTTCAGAAAGGACTGCTACCTCTGCTAATCAAAGACCCTGATAATTGTTCTGAATCATTTAAGACAACATAAATGCATGGAAATGCTCCTTGCTTTAGATCCCTTGATAGCACTCTTATCAATGCTTTTATCACTGTATAAAATGTGATCTTTGAACTCCAACAACCTGTCTTAGCAAACATTTCTTAGAGGTAAAGGTTAAAGGCTCAAGTTATAAATGATGTACAAGCCTTCTTTGCTTTCATATGCTGCTCAGAAGCAGCAGTTAATTTCTTTTCCTACCAACAACCCCATGACAGTTATGTGGAGGTACCAGATATATGCTGGGCTTGTTTTTTTTCTTTCTTTCTGGAGTCTGACAGAAGGTGGGAAGCTCTTGGTTGTGCCTCAAGATGGAAGTCACTGGCTAAGCATGCGTATGGTTCTGGAGAAACTCAGGGAGAGGGGGCACGAAATCATTGCAGTGATTCCTGAAGCCACTTTGCTCATGAAAAGCTCACAATCTTTCACCATCAGAACATATTCTGTGCCTTACACACAGGAGTTTGTGGATAGATACTACAATTCCATCGGTGAAAAAATTTTTAATAACGCTCCCTTTCTAGAAAAATATACAAGTTTACTCAGCAATATGTCAGAAATGACCAATATGTTCTCTTCCACTTGTCGGCGTCTCTTATATGATGAAGAACTAATGAAGTACCTCCAAGACAGCAAATTTGATGCCATCATGATGGATCCTGTGTTGCCCTGCGGACCAATTGTTGCTGAGTATCTCTGTCTCCCTTCAGTGTACTTCATGCGTGGTCTTCCATGTACCTTAGACTACAAAGCCACCCAGTGTCCTAGTCCTTTTTCTTATGTGCCGAAGACTTTCTCATCCAGTTCAGACCATATGACATTTACAGAGCGTGTGAAGAACTTCCTGATTGGGTCTTCAGAGCATTTGCTTTGCTATTTGTTTTATTTACAATATCAGAACTTAGCTTCTGAGTTTCTTCACAGAGAAGTAACAGTACTGGAACTATTTAGCAAAGCATCCATTTGGCTGATGAGATATGACTTTGTTTTTGAGTATCCGCGCCCAATAATGCCAAACATGGTCTATATTGGAGGCATCAACTGTGAGCAGAAGAAGCCATTATCAAAGGTTTGTCATTGTTTACACTGAGGGTATTACAGCATTTATTAGTGATTATTTAAGACTTGCTTTTTTAAGTGCTTCCTATAGTAGTATTTGTGCTTGAGCCAATATGCGATCGAATACCAGGATGTGGTTAGTAGGTCCAGAGAGGTTCTCCTCCCCCTCTACTCTGCCCTGGTGAGGCCACATCTGGAATATTGTGTCCAGTTCTGGGCCCCTCAGTTCAAGAAGGACAAGGAACTGCTTGAGACAGTCCAGAGCAGGGCCACAAAGATGATGAAGGGAGTGGAGCATCTCCCTTATGAGGAAAGGCTGAGGGAGCTGGGTCTCTTTAGCTTGGAGAAGAGGAGACTGAGGGGGGACCTCATTAATGTTTATAAATGTGTAAAGGGTGACTGCCATGAGGATGGAGCCAGGCTCTTCTCAGTGGCATCCAATGACAGGATAAGGGGAAATGGATATAAGCTGGAACATAGGAGGTTCTGCTTAAACATGAGGAAGAACTTCTTCCCAGTAAGGGTTACAGAAGACTGGAAGCCCAGAGAGGTTGTGGAGTCTCCTCTGGAGATGTTCAAAACCCGCCTGGACGCGTTCTTGTGTGATCTAATCCAGGTGGTCCTACTCCGGCAGGGGGATTGGACTAGATGATCCTTTGAGGTCCCTTCCAGTCCCTAACATTCTGTGATGGCAAGATTTGGAAGTGGGAATCCCAGGTGAGAGATGATCATAAGACTTGCACTGCAAGCAGCTGAAGGGTTTCCCTCCAGGACAGCTTACACAGCTACGTACCTGCCTAACTATAGCTCAGCTTCTTGTAAGCACAACGCTATAATATTAGATTATCATGGCTTGTATGCTATATCTAGATAAATGACAAAATAATTCTAGGTCGTACTGTTGCTCACCAGCCTGGGCTGCGGCACCAAGGACGCTGTTGCATCTTCCGC